AAAACTTTTTTTTAATGATAAAAAAAAAAAATAATCATTTTTCTTTTTATGGGTAAAAATCACGAAAAAAAAAGAAAATAATAATGATAATGATAATAATAATTGTATTTACTTTTTATTATTATTATTATTATTATTATTAACTAGCCTTATTCAATTCAAAAAAAACCACCCCTTCCTCCTTCACCTCCCCCCAAAAAAAAAAATGAAAGTGGAAGGAAAAAGGGGATGAAAAAAAAATTATAAAAAAAAAAAAAAATTAAAAGAAAAATGAAAACGAAATGAAACGGGAGTGAGTGGGAGAGAGAGAGAGAGAAAGAACCGAGAGATGGAAATAATAATAATAATAATAATAATAATAATAAAAGAATTTAAATAAATATTAAAAATTATTTTTTTTTGTAATGAAATGAAAAATCAACATGGAAGAAGATTTTCTCCATTAAAAAAACCAAAAAAAAAAATTTTTTTTAACGTCTCTCTCTTTTTTCTGTTTATTAATGTCCTTTAATACCAATAATAATGATTATTATTATTATTGTCTCATTCTCTCTCTCTTTCTCTTTTACGATTTTTTTTTTGGATTCGAAAATGTTTACAACGCCATCATTAAAAAATTTTTAAAGTGTGGTAATAAGAATGAGAAAAAAAAAATTATTAAAAGGTGAAAATGAGAGAGAGAGAGAGAGTGAGAGAAAGGGGGGAGAGGGAGAGGTTGATTGGGTGCGTGTGTGAATATTATTGATAACGATATCATATTCGAAATGAAAAAATCATTAGTTTTACATTATTTTAACTTTTTTTTTTTTTTTGTTTGTACTTTGAACGTGTAAAAACTTTTTAAGTGATTGATTGTTGTCATAATTATGTTTCAAATTGTTTTTTTTAATCAAAAATCAATATAAATCTAATTCTAAAATCATTTAGAATATTTTTTGTTAATGAAAAAAGAAATCAATCGATAATAACGGTTTTTTTTTAAAAAAATTATTAATAATAATGATAATAAAAAATGTTTAAAAAAAAAGAAAATGAGAGAAAATTTTTGTCTTTTTTTTTGTCGAAAAAGTTCAAACGATAAAAATTACCAAATAAAATAATAAAAGTTTTAATTAATTTATGATGATGATGATGATGATAATGATGATGAAGATGATGATAATGATGATAATGATGATAATGATGATGATGATGATGATGATTATTACGACGAACAGGTGTAGAATAATAATTTTTTTTAGAAAAAATATTAAAATCATAAAATTTTTTTTTCATTTTCAACAGGATTTTTTCATCCTCACGGTCTCGGTTCTGCGGCATCGTCGCCATCACAACAACCAGTAAATGGTTCATTAAACAATCAACAACAACAGCAATTGATAAGAAGGAAAATACTTCAAGTTAACGACGACAGCGCATCAGAGGGTACGTCTCAAAACAAAGGTAACCGACGGCATTTGCCGTTCGACTTCCTTTTGTTTTATTTTTTATTTTTTTTCTTAATTTTATTTTATTTCGACAAACGTACAAACAGAACAACAGCAAGAACAACAACAAACAACAACAACAGAAAATTTTTTAAATTATTATCCTCCCAACAAAGAAAATTAAAAACAAACAAACCATGTTAAATAACCTAATCCTACGAGGAAATTTATTTTCATTTTTCAAACAAACATTTTTTTATTAATAATAATAATTATTATTATTATTATTTAATAATTAATTATCATTATCATTTATTTATTTATTATTTAAATATAATTCTTCGATTAATAAATATGGCGTTTTAAAAAATTATTTTTATGTCAAGAATTTTCTTTTTTTAAATTACTTTTCCACTTCTATTTTGCGACGACGACGACGACATTGATAATAATAATAATAATAAATAAATTATAATATTATCGTATCGGATTTGATTGAAAATAAATAAATAAATAAATAACGTCAATTTTTTTAATAATTAAAATAATAAATTACTTATTTTATTACTATTATTAAAACATAAATCGCGATCGAATTAATTTAAAATAATAATTAACTCGTGGATTTATTAATTAATATTTAATAATTTTTTTTAAAGTTTCCATTTACTTATTTATCGTTCTTATTGATTTTATTGATTTTTTTTTCCTCAAATTTAATCGACTAACAATTAAATTTTCCGATATAATTTTTTATAAAAGTAACGAAAAAGGAAATGTCGTCGATTTTGTTATTCAATCATATTAAAATAATATTCGATCATCAATCATTTCTTTTTTTTTCTAGAAATATCCATCATTTTTTTGTTACTTTAATGCGATAAATATTATTATTATTATTATTATTATCGCGGCGGTGGCACAAATCGATCGATTTTACAATTTACATTTTCTCTCATTTTCCCATTTTTCGATTTGTACAATAAAAAAAAAAATTATTTTCATTTATTTATCATTATTATTATTTTTTCTTCTTTTAATGAACTCTCACCTTTTTTTTTATTATTATAAAAATTTATAGGTTTTAAGTAAAATGAATATAATAATGTTTAACAGGTTGTAATTATTGTAGTATAACTACAAATTAACAATACTAATTATCACATCATTATTATGTGTGATAAACTTTTTTTTTTTGGTTTTAACGTGATTATAATAATATTTAAATTTAATAGACAATTTTTAACGCCACGAAATTTTTTTTTTTTTTATCATAACTAAAAATTTATATATTTACTTCCTCCTCACC